TAGGGCCTTGTTCATGCAAGGCAAGCACTTTACCAACTGAGCTACATCCCCAGCCCCTCTATAGGTTCTTAATGAAGAAACTGACAATCCTAATGCTGGGAACTGCAATAGACATAGTCAATTCAAAGAAAACAATTGTAAGTCAACTCTAAGCACTGAAAACACACTTAATCATGACAGACTTATTACAGACATTCCTTCTGCATGCTCTGCTCAACTGCCAGATCTAAAATCTCGAGTCTTAGGCCTTAAGTCCAGCAGATGCACACTCACTTAGTCTGCAGTGACCAGGTCAGGAACTGATGGAGGCTTCTCCTGGGGTGAAGGTGACATCCAGCTGAGGAGAAGGTCATAGGGAGAAGTGCTGTTCTTACCAGGGTCAAGATGTGGCTGTAGTTTGAGAATGGTGAGGATGATGCAGAGGATCAGGCAGATGATGAGAAGAGTTGGTATATCAGTCCAGGTCCTCATCAGGCTCTCCACATGTGGGCATCAGTGTCGGCTGGCTGAATGTCTGTACATTTGCTCCATCATGTATGCTAGATTTGGGGGCTTCTACTTGCCTTTTCAATCCCCATCAGCTGTTACCAGGTTTCTCAGTGACATCTTTCATTCCATGGTCAGGACATCTGGTCTAGTAGTTTCTGCCTGATCTTTCACCTCTAACTTTATAAGAGTGAAGGCAGTGACTTCATTCTGAGTTTTATCAGGGTTGTGGAAAATGACTTATTTTATCAGGCTGTGCTTGATGACCATATTGGAGGGCTCCATAGGCTTGCCTGGTGGGGACTGCAGTTTTATTTTAAAATGGAGTTACTTAGGCTAAGGCCTTCTTAGGTTAAAGCTATTCTTACACACAGGAAGACAAAAACCTTGTCAGCAGTGCTGTGAATACCCTGGGATACTAGATCAAGCTTCAAAATACCAGGAAAAACGCCCGATTATCCAAAGCATGGGTCATGTGCTCATATACCAACTGTACCAGAGAAGGGAATGGTGTGTCTGGCTCCTTCAGCTTTCACTGTGGCATTGCATCCCATCAAGACTGCATACAGGGCTGGGGATGTGGCTCAAGCGGTAGCGCGCTCGCCTGGCATCCGTGCGGCGCTGGGTTCGATCCTCAGCACCACATACAAATAAAATAAAGATGTTGTGTCCCCCGAAAACTAAAAAAAAAAAAAAAGAAAGAAAGAAAGACTGCATACAATGGGGCAACCTGCTATCAGGCCCCTCTCACCCATAGAGCTCTGCTTCTTTTCTTCTCACTTACTGAAGAACAAAACAAAACTAGGTTAAAAACATCTTGACCCAAATTGGGGCCAAATTTGCCAGAGTCCTCTCAAGGCTCTCATATCCTCAGATATACAACTTATTCACTGATATTCACCCTCTAGCCTGCTGAAATCCTCGCCTCCTGTCGAGACGGGGCAAAATTGCAACATATGCAGTCGAGGGGAGAAATAAAGAATGTCCATGCGCTTCTGCCCCTTTTCAATGCTTTATTCACTCAAATTACTCAATATAGTTTCACTCTATAGGTTCTTAATCAAGAAAACAACAATCCTTAGTGCTACACACTGCAATAGACATAATCAATTCACAGCAAACAATTCTAGATTAATTCTAAGCACTGCAATAAAACATTCAATCATGATAGGCTAATGACAGACATTCCCTCTGCATGCTAAGTTCAAAGGTTTTAAGTCTTAGGCTTTGAGTCCAGCAGATGCACACTCACTCAGACCACGGTGATCAGGTCCAGAACCAAGGCAGGCTTTTTCTGGTGTGGAGGAGACAACTGGTTGAGGAGGGGTCATAGGGAGGAGTTGCAGCTCTCTCCAAGGTCCAGATGAGGCGGTAGAGTTTGAGAGCTGTGAGGATCATGCAGAGGCTCAGGAACATGACAAGTGATGGGATTTCAGGTCCTCATCAGGCTCTCCAGCTCGAGTGCATCCTTGTTTCAGCTGGCTGAATCCCTGTTCATTTTCTCTATCATTTATACTAAATTTTGGGGCTTTTGACCCCCTTTCAATCTTTATCAGCTACCACCAGATTTCTCAGTGACATCATTTACCCTGGGGTCAGAAACATCTGGTCTGACCCTCTCACCCGGGTCTCCTTGCCTTTCCCTCTTATCAGAGAAGGATAGCCTGCCAGAGTCTTCACTCTCTTTTATCAGGGTGACAGGAAGTAACTTGTTTGAGGCCATACTGGAGGGCTCTGTGGATGTTGATAGACCCAACCTGATCTTTTCTTAAAATTGGGCATCTCGCCACAAAACCATGAAAAGATAATTTCGGCTTTACTATAAATTACTGCAAATTCTGAACCTGCTTGGAATGCCTGCCCGTGCCTTGAACTCACCCATGCCTGGCTCTCTGACCAGATAGCAGCCCTCTCTGAAACTTAGTGACACCTCATAAATATTGGCCTTCCCTGGCCAGACAACGACCCTCTCTGAGGCTCTAATGGTCCTCATAAATTCTGATGTTGGGGCCAGCAAAAAATGTAAACTACCATTAGTGTGATGCTTGTCAGAGTTCTGTTATCTGTAACCTCCCTTTGTGTAACTTTCGGGGCTATAAAGCTGGGCTGCAGGAAAGCTGGGGTGCTGTCTTGTTCCTGCCATTTTGGGAGGGAGAGGCAGCCTGGCCAGTCAATATAATAAGCTTGCTTTAATTTGATTTTAATTTTTCTTTTCTTGTGTCCTGATCTAACAATGTGCCTGGTGAAACTGCAGGTCTTAAAATGGAGTTGCTTAGGCTCAGGCCTAAGGCCATCCTAACACCTCCTCCTAAAGATCCTTCCTAGCCATAGGATGTTTTCATATTTTCTATCCCAGCATCCCATTTAGTCTTCCCAGTTACACAAACTAAAATGTGTGATTCTTTTATTTATCTGTTTGTTTACTTCTTCATTGTCTCCTTGCAAAAATTCGTAGTTCCTGATACTTATTCATTGTCCGTCCCTACCCTCAATAAAATGTAGTTCCCAAATGAAAAATGGTCTGTCTTTTTCATGGCTGCAGCCCCAATAGCTGGCACTCTCAGCAAGGATCTGTTGAATGAATAAAAAATAAGACATTGCCTCATAATTTACCAGGGAAGTGGATAGGAAGAGAAAAAGCAGTTTGGAGAGCTGTAAGAGTCTAAACTTTAAGTAGGTATCAGGTGACCAAAAGATTGCTGTAAGATAGAGATTCTTACAATCTAGTCAGGAGGAGGGAAATTAAATGTAGGGTAATGGGCCATCATCTTTAAAGTAATAAAAGAAAAATAGCACTTCAGAATTCTATAACCACTGAAACCATATTACAAAAAAAAATGGTGAAATAAAGAACTTTTCAAACATATCAGTGAAGGAGTTTATCACCAGCAGATGCACAGTATGAGAATTATTAAAGGAAGTTGTTCAGGCAAAAGAAAAAAATGACACCAAATAGAAATCCAGATTTACAGAGAACTATGGAGATATAGAGCACTAAAAATGCTGAATATGTGGGTAATAACAAGAACATTTTTGTCCTATTATTCAAAGGATAGCATCCAAAAATAATATGTTGTGAACTTTTGTAAGGATGGCCTTAGGCCTGAGTCTAAGCAACTCCATTTTATTTTATTTTTTTAAAGAGAGAGAGAGAGAAGAGAGAGAGAATTTTAATATTTATTTTTCATTTTTCAGCGGACACAACATCTTTGTTTGTATGTGGTGCTGAGGATCGAACCCCTGGCCACAGGCATGCCAGGCGAGCGCGCTACCGCTTGAGCCACATCCCCAGCCCCAGCAACTCTATTTTAAAACTGCAGTCTCACCGGGCTGGCCTAATGGAGCCCTTCAGTTTGGCCCTCAGGCACAAACAAGTCACTTCTCCCCACCCTGACAAACTCAGAGGAAGTCTCTGGCATATTGTACTCAACCTGATCAGGGGAAAAGGCCAGAAAATCTGGGTGGGGATCACCAGACCAGATGCTTTAACCCCAGGGTAAATGATGTCACTGAGAGACCATGTGGCAGCTGATAAGGATTGAAAGCCCCAATATGTAGTATAAATAATGGGGTGAATGAACAGACTTTCAGCAAGCCGGCACATTTTCAGGCACATTGTCAAAGTCCCTGATGAGGACCTGGGCTGACATCCCAATTTTCTCATCATTTGTTTGCCTGATCCTCTGCATTTTCCTCACCGCCTTCAAACTCTACAGCCATATCTTGACCTTGGTGAGAGTCACAACTTCTTCCTAACAAGCCTCCCCTCAACCGGCTGTCAGCTCCACCCCAGGAGAAGCCTGCCTTGTTTCCTGACCTAATCACCATAGTCTGAGTGAGTGTGCATCTGCTGGACTTAAAGCCTAAGGCTTGAGGCTTTTGATCTGACACTTGAACTTAGCATGCAGAGGGAATGTCTGTCATGAGCCAGTCATGATTAAGTGTTTGCAGTGCTTAGAATTAGTCTAGAATTGTTTGCTGAGAATTGATTATGTCTATTGAAATACCCAGCATTAAGGATTGTCATTTTCTTGATTAAGAACCTATATAGGGCTGGGGTTGTGGCTCAGTGACAGAGTGCTGGCCTGGCATGCATGAGGCCCTGGGTTCGATCCTCAGCACCACATACATGTAAAATAAAGATTTTTAAAAATTCCACCTAAAACTAAAAAATAAATATTAAAAAAAAGAACCTATAGAGTGAGATTGTATTGAGTGAATACAGCATTGACAAAGGCAGAAGCGCATGGACATCAACTGCATGAGTCGCACCTTTTGCCATCACGACAACTTTATTACCTTTGTAGCAGTACAATATATGACAATTAAACATCACACTTTTAAATTTACTTAAAAAAGAAGAAATCACAAAGGAAATATCCCACCCACGTCCCACGGGGGCGGGGGGGGTGGGTGTTGGAATGGGGTTCTCCTGGGTGGAATGGGCTGGCTGAGAAATAAAAGCTAAGAGAAATAGAAGAGTAAAGAAACCACAACAAGCACGGGGTCAGGACCGGCAAGATGATCAGAAGGATGGAGCTTCTACACAAAATGGAGCCTGTGCCTGCTTTATTTATATCAGGAAACACCAAAGATCCCTGCACTGCTGAGAGAAGGCGGAGAATCTCATCCTTGTTCTTTATTTCTTTCCCGGCCGAGGTTAATAGCCCCCTTTGCTGATAAATAGCCCCGTGTACATGAGCGGTAGCAAATGCATAGCGGCTATCAGTGTATATGGTGGCCCTCTTGTCTGTTGCTAGTTCCAATGCTTTCGTAAGGGCAATCAGTTCTGCTCTTTGAGCAAATGTTCCTTCTGGGAGACCAGAGGACCAGATGACATTAGTTTCGCTAACTACTGCTGCTCCAGCTCGCCGCTTACCATCCTGGAGGAAGCTACTACCGTCCGTGAACCATATGACTTCAGGGTGAGGCAGTGGCTGATCCTTCAAGTCTCATCGTATGCTGGTTTCTTCTGCCAGTATGTGTTGACACTCATGAGCGACGGGTCCTGATGATTCTTCTGGTAGCAGTGTAGCCGGGTTGAGCAGGGCAGGGGGTCCCAGCGTTATTCTATCCTTGTCGAGCAATAGGCTCTGGTAGCGGGTTATTCTAGAATTTGATAGCCATCTGTCTGGAGGCTGGTGGATAATGCTCTCCAGGGTATGGGGGGCTATAATGGTTAGCTTCTGTCCCAGTGTTAATTTATCAACGTCTTTTATTAGAAGGGCCGCCACTGCTATAGCTTTTAGGCAATGGGGCCACCCGCTAGCCACTGGGTCCAGTGTTTTTGATAAGTATGCTACAGGCCTTTTCCAGGGCCCCAAAGTTTGAGTGAGCACCCCCCGTGCTATTCCTTTCTTTTCCTCAATGTAGAGAGTAAAGGGTTTTTCTACATCCGGGAGTGCTAAGGCTGGAGCAGATAGCAGCACCTTTTTGATATTATCAAATGCTTGTTGGTGCTCGGGGGTCCATTGGAATTGGGCATCCCCCTTTAACAGCGGGTATAGAGGGGCGGCCAGAGACACGAACCCAGGAATCCACAACCTGCAAAAGCCGGCAGTCCCAAGAAACTCCCTGAGTTGTCTCTTATTGGATGGGGGCGGAATCTGCACAACGGTTTGTTTTCTGGGCTCAGTGAGCCATCGTTTGCCACCCCTAAGAGAATAACCCAGGAAGATTACTTCTTGCTGGCAAATTTGAGCCTTTTTGGCAGAAGCCCTATATCCAAGCTGAGCAAGCTCGGATAATAGGGCTTGGGTCCCAGACTCACAGTTCTTCTTGGTGTCGGCTGCTAGTAGCAGGTCATCCACATATTGGAGTAGGGTGACTTCGGGGTGCGTAGTTCTGAAGTCATTGAGGTCCCTGTGGAGGGATTCATCAAAGAGAGTGGGGGAGTTTTTGAACCCCTGTGGGAGTCTAGTCCAGGTTAGTTGGCCAGATGTTCCTGTTTCTGGGTCTACCCACTCGAAAGCAAACAGCAGCTGACTGTCCTTATGTAGGGGCAAGCAGAAGAAAGCAGCTTTTAAGTCCAGTACAGTGTACCATTTCCGCTCCGGATTCAGAGTGCTGAGCAGATTATATGGATTAGGTACCGTGGGGTGGATGTCCTGCACTCTGTTGTTGATCTCTCTTAGGTCTTGAACGGGGTGATAGTCCCCAGTTCCTGGCTTTCTTACTGGTAGCAGGGGGGTATTCCAGGCTGATTGACAGGGCCTTAGGACCCCTAGAGCCAGGTATTTCTGAATATGGGGCCTTATCCCATCCTTAGTTTCTTTGCTTAGAGGATATTGTTTAACACTGACTGGAGAGGCAGAGGCTTTTAATTCTACTACTATTGGAGGTTGTCTTATGGCTAGGCCTAACCCAGCAGTTTCTGCCCAGGCATCAGGATAATCTATCATCCATTTCTGGGGTAGCTTGCCTGTTTGATCAGTCCTGAGGGGGGTGTGAAGAGTTGATGTTCATCTTCTACTGACATAGTCAGGGCCGTGACTATGGGAGTTTTTACTGAGGGATTTAGAAACTCCACTTGGGGACCATCAGGGTTAAAGGTTATTCTAGCCCGGAGTTTGGTAAGCAGATCTCTGCCCATCAATGGGGCCAGGCATTCTGGGATTACTAGGAAAGAGTGGTGGACTTTTCCCTTTCCTATGTCCATAGTCCTCTTAGTTGTCCAAGCCCAATATTTACTGCCGTTAGCCCCTTGAACCAGAGACCTTTTATTTGATAGGGGGCCCAGTGGGGTCTTAAGGGCTAAGTATACTGCCCCTGTATCCACTTCAAAGTTCACTGGGGTCCCCTCCACTTCAAAAGTTACCCTGAGCTTGGGGAGGGGATCCGAGCCGCGACTTTCCTAGTCATCTTCTAGAGTCAGAACGGCAGGCTGGCGTGGCTGTCTCTTTCTAGGGCACTCTTTGGCCCAGTGTCCTTTTTCTTTAAAGTAGGCACATTGATCTGAGGCCAGGGGCAGCCTCTGGCGTGGGCCCAGGTATCCCTTCCTGTCTCCCTGTTTCTTAATTTTTGGCCTATTTGTTGTTGTGACCAGGACTTTAGTCAATGCCTTAGTCTGTCTTTTGCTTCTTTCATCCTCACTTTGCTCCCTTTCTTTCTCCCTCCTTTGTTCCTTCTCTTCCTCAGTTTCTCTCTTATAGTATACCTTCTCGGCTTCTCTGACTAAATCTCTCAAAGTCATATCTTGTAATCCATCTAAACGCTGTAACTTTCTTTTAATATCCAGGACAGCTTGCCCAATAAAGGCCATCGTGACAGATGCCTTTTGATCCTCTGCCTGAGGATTGAAAGGAGTATATCTCCTATATGCCTCCATAATTCTCTCTAGAAACATAGAGGGAGATTCATCAGGCCCTTGAATAATCTCTCTTACCTTGGCCAAATTAGTTGGTCACCTAGCGGCCGCTCGGAAACCCACTATTAAAGCCCGGCGATAAGTGGACAGATGCTCCCTACCTTCAAAGGTGTTGGGGTCTCAGTTGGGTCAGTTCAAGGGGGAGCCAGCTTCAATTATGTTGGGAAGTTTTGTCGGTCGCCCATCTGATCCGAGGATATTTTTTTAGCTTCCAGGAGGTTTCTCTCTCGTTCTTTTGTCATGAAGAGAGTCCCTAGGAGTTGTTGGCAGTCATCCCAAGTAGGCTGCTGTGAAAACATCAAAGATTTAACCAGACCTGCCAGCTTCCTCCAGGGGAGGAGGGGCTGTGTGTGCCACGGGGGAGTCATCTGGAGGGCGCTGGGCTGGCTTAGCTTCCTCCAATGGCGGAGAGGCTGAGTCAGCAGCAAGGGAATCACTTAGAGGGCGTTGGGGGTTGGGGGACGAGGGCAGGGGATAAGGAGGGGGAGGAGAGTCAGGGAGAACAGAGGGTGGTGGAGGAGGAGGAGCAGAGGGTTTGAGAGAGAGAATTCAGGGAGAACAGAGGGTGGAGGAGGAGGAGGAGCAGAGGGTTTGAGAGATAGAATCATGGGGGAAGGAGTAGGAGCGGGGGCAGGACAAGGAAAGGCTTCACCCATGGAGGAGGAGATTCGCAGAGGTCCTGCCAAGTTAAGATATACGGCTGTTAATCTGGATGGCTATGTGGCCCCGGCTGAAAGACAATATCTCTGACTTTTCGAATTAGTGGGAAGTAGAAAGATCCTTCTGGGGGCCATCCGACTCCGAACGTGGGTCATTCTGAGGCACAGAGTCTGCCAGGTCCGGTGTTTTACTGAAAAAGAAAGATTCTGAGCCCTTAAGCGGACTTCGGTCCAGTGATCAAGGGTCAGGGACAGAGGCATTGAAGTGCTCTGTCCCATAATGAAAGATACACAAACAGTGAAAGCAACGACACATGACACAGACAAGACAAGACAATAAAGATAGACAATGGACGTCCAACACTGAGACCAGGACTGAGTAGCCGGCAAAACCTGATGGGCTGGCAATACCGAATCTGAAACAAAATATCACCGAGTCGAGGAGACTATTGTTCCTCGATTTCCTGAGTCCTCTGGGGCGTCCCCCAGGGACGTGGCCTGTGGCTCTGTGACACGTCTGTCAGCCACCGTCGGAGAGAGCTCACGCTCTTCACCAACAGCCACTTTGCCAAGCCCTAACCTGAAACCTGAAACCGGAAAGAGGCACCTTATTTACCCCATAGGAGTCCGTTGGGGTCTTTCGTCCGCCGCTGCCGGATCTCGCTGGGGCCTCCAGATGTAAAGGTCGGGCAAACGTCGGAGGAAAAGACCACCAAGAGACTGTCTCATGCAACAGCAAAGGGTTTATTGGGGGTCCAGCATGCTGGGGCTCCAAGCTCACCTCGCAGGGGTAAAGAGCCAAGAGCCCTCAGAACAGCTTGAGCAGAGCTTATATACATTCTTTGGAAAGGGCAGGGACTTCACATACAGCATAACAAATCATCACATGCTGCGGGAAAATCAAACAACAACTCTTAACCATGATTAGTACATTCACTGGCGGGAACAAGTCAGGTAGGGGTGATTGGTCAGCACAAAGAAGGGTATACATTTGAACTGATTGGCCTAAGCCCTGAGGTGTGTAAGTGCCGGTCTGCACGGTTTCTGGGTAGTGGGGGGTTGTTTTTACACAGCAACCAGATGGTCAGGGGAGATTTCAACATACATTTCAGTGGCTTTTCCGGGAGTTGTTTTTACAGAACTTGAAACAAATCTTATCCTTTACATTTCAATTTCTTTAACCTTTCACAGCCAATACCAAAAAGTTAGTGAGGATTTGGAACAAATGTTGCAGTCGTTTTGGGAAATATCTTTCATGTTTTTTTACTATACAATCCAGCAGTTGGAATGCCTTAGAATTTACTCAAAGAGTTGAAATTTTATGTTCACCCAAAAATCTGCACTCAATTATTCATAATTGCCAACACTTGGAACAATAAAGATGTTCTTCAATAGATGAATGGATAAATACTACTATTCAATGCTAAAAAGAAATAAGCTATCAAATGATGCAAAGGCATAGAGGAAACTTAAATGCTTTTACTAAAGAAACCAACCCTAAAAGGTTACATTCAATATGATTCTGACCATATGGCAGTCTGGAAATGGCAAAAGACTAGAGCAAATGAAAATATCAGAGGTTTTTGGAGGCCTGGGTAGGGAATGATGAATAAATGGAATGTAGCCCTTTATATTTTATTTTAGGATAGTGTATCACTAATTTGCCAGATTGGCCTCAAACTTGCAGTCCTCCTCCCTCAGTCTCCCTAGTAGCTGGGACTTAGGTGTGTGCATCCAGAACCAGCCTATAAAGTATATTTTTTAAAAGGGAAATTGGAAAGTATTTTGAACTGCATCAAAATGAAAATGCAACACCAAATTTTGAAGATGCAGCTAAATAGGGAGAAATTTATAGCATTTATGCCTAAATCAGAAAAGAAAAAAAAAAATCTCAAATCAATGTTCCCTTCCTCCACCTCAAAAAACTACAAAAGCAGGGCCTGTGTAACCTGCCACCTGGGACAATTTTGCTTGCTTGTCTTTCACAAATTTGCCATTCCAGAGCAAAATTGAAAAAAGTGCTGATCTCACTAACTAATGAATTCATGGTGTTTGCCTCCTATGCAACAATTATTCTTTCAAAAATAAAGTTTATGAGCACTACAACTGTCTTCCATATACTAACACAAAAGATTTTTGTGAACCTAGAGGACTGTGTGAGCTTTGAAAAGGGGGAAAATAAGAAGTATCTTCCAAGAGATGGAAAGAGGGAATGTGTACAAAGAGCCGAACTGCGTGCTCTTGAAAACATTGTTGTATTTATTGGTATTGGCCTTCTGTATCCCTTGAGTGTTTCAGACCCCTCTACAGTCATCCTGCATGTCAGATTCTTTGCTGGAGCAAGGATTACCACAAAATTTCATATTTGATACCCCTTCCTGGGCAAATAGAGCTTTGGCCTTTTTTCACTGGATTGAAGTTACTTTCAAAGACTTACAGGTTGCTGAAGTCTAGATTTTATCTGTAAAATAAAATCAGAAAACAACCCATTATCCAATGGGTTTTTAAGGATTCTATACTTTGATATACAATAAATAGTTTCTTTTTTTTCAGTACTGTGAGCACTACTTTTTTTATTATTTATTTCTTTCATACATGACAATAGTGGAATGTGTTACATTCATAATTATCCATTCACAGCACAATTTTTCATAACTCTGTATATAAAGTATGTTCACGCCAAATTATGCCATTATACATGAGCCCTCTTCTTCTTCTTCTTCTTATTATTATTATTGCATTACAATTCTTAATACACCTTTATACCACAATTTATCATATCTCTGTTTATATATAAGGCATGTTGACACCAAATTCACATCTTCATACATGTATTTTGTATAATGATGACCGTCTCCTTCCACTATCCTTGCTATTCCCCTTCTCCCTCCCTTTCCCTCCCACTCCTTATTCCCTATCTAGAGGTGATTTTCCTCCCATGCTCTCCCTCCCTACCCCACTTTGAGTCACCCCCCTTATATCAGAGAAAACATTCGGCATTTGTTTTTTGGGATTGGGTAACTTCACTTCTTCTCTAATGCCATCCATTTCCCTGCAAATGCCATGATCTTATTCTTTTTTAGTGCTGAGTAATACTATTGTGTATAAATGCCACATTTTTTTTATCCATTCATCCACTGAAGGACATCTAGGTTGACTCCATGGTTTAGCTATTGTGAATTGTGCTGCTATAACCATTGATAACAATAAATAATTTCTGAGGTTTTAGGTAGGATGAAATCAGAGAAATTAAGAATTGGGGAAAACCCACTTTAAAGGTTATCAATCTTAATATTGGATGTCATCACTCCATCTCTCTCAACCATGGGTATTAATTCAGAGAAAATGGATGAGTGATGATGGGGGTTGAAGAAAAGACAAACAGACACACATAGAAAGAAAAAGCTGAGGCCAAGTGGATAGCCAAACTCTGATGTAGTTTGACTGACCCAGAGCTAGCTCAGCATATTTATTATATAGGTTTTTTCATCAAAAGGCTATCTGTGAGAAAGTTTCTGCAAAGCAGGCAGTCTGAAGGACACAGGACCAGCGAGACATTAGGGTTATCTTGTTATGCTCAGAATTCTCTATTCCCAGGAATTAGTGCCTGGGCTCAAGGTCTCAATTGATAGAACTCTGCACCTTTGCACAGAGTTTCCTTGGGCCAGCATCCCTGCAGCAATTGAGCCATCTTTCCTGCACCTTCACTCAGGAAGTTCCCAGCACAAATGCAGCCAAGAGGCAATCAGAAACCATGGTTCAAGTCACTACTCTTCACATCTTTATTTTGTTTGTATTTGTTCTAGAAATTTAACATCATCCTAAGTCTTTTGTTTGACTCCTGAAGTACTTTGTTGTAAATTCTGATTGTTATAATTTACAACATTCATCAACATTTTATATTGTGAATCTAAAAAAAAAACATTGTTTGCACATATAAAAACTGTATTTTGATACTACTGAAATAAGCCCATGAAATAAAGAATAAAAAAGAAATTAGGCCAGGCCTCGTGGCGCATGCCTGCAATCCCAGCAGCTCTGGAGGCTGAGGCAAGAGGATCACGTGTTCAGAGCCAGTCTCAGCAAAAGTGATGCACTAAGCAATTCAGTGAGACCCTGTCTCCAAATAAAATACAAAATAGGGCTGGGGATGTGGCTCAGTGGTCAAGTGCCCCTGAGTTCAATCCCTAGTACCAAAAAAAAAAGAAAGAAAGAAAATAGAATTAAATAAAAAAAGAGCAAATAAAGCTCAATGTAAGAGCTAGGGTTGTAGCTCAGTGGTACAGCTCTTAACTAGCATGTCTGAGGCACTGGGTTCAATTCTCAGCACCACATATAAATAAATAAAATAAAGGTTATAAAAAACTCAAAGCAAGCAAAATAACAGAAATAATAAAGATCAGGATAATATTAATAAAAATAGAACAGAGAAAATAAAGAATAAAAATTAATGTAACAAAAATTAGTACAATAAAAGAACTTCAATGAAATTGATAAAACTCTAGTAAGAGATCAATTAGAATGTCTAACTAGTTCAATAAAGCAATAAAAAGAGGGCTGGGGACACAGCTCAGTTGGTAGAGTACTTGCCTCACATGCACAAGGCCCTGTGTTCAATCCCCAGCACCACATACACACACACACACAAGTGTGTGCGCAAAAAAAAAAAGTATCCAGTTGGAAAGAAAAAACAAAACTATGTTTATTAG